AGAGCCCACTTGATTTGCACCAGGGTGAATTTCCCAGCAGCCAAAAGCGCGGGCGAGCAGGCAGCGGCAGGCGCAGCTGGGGCAATACAAACCCAAGCCTCTAGAACTATTCTGAACTCACATGACTCGATGCTTTTAGCAAGAAATAGAGAGAGGACAAAGCAAGACTCTCATGCACATAATTCTATAGCAGCTATAAAAACTCGATAAAGCTTGACTACATTATATTTGTCAAATAGGAGTTATTGTTGGTTGGCTTGGAAGCTTACAGTTGGCAACTTATTTAATAACGCTTTGAAAATAAAACTGTTGGCTTTTCAAATGGAATAAGCCTTTCATTTCTGACAAAAGTACTCTGCTCTGCTTCATTCTGTCTTTCTTTTGGCTAAAAAGAATGGAAGTATCATCATCTTCCGAGTATATTGCATTTTTCAGGAAAAAATAAAACAGAAATCAAGTGCTAATCGCCTATCTTGTGTGCTGTGAGAACATGCAAGTATAAGACACTTTTTGCCTTTCAATTATTAGAGTCTTGACTGAACAATTCACTGTCTCTGAGTCCATTTGTAACGATGAGCCACAATCCTCAGATACATGCAAAAGAAAAGTCGCTATAATAGCCATAAGGGTAAGAGTGCAAAACCAAGAAAGATCTTTGCCCCCAGCTAGTTYTTCAATCATATTTAACATTAGTTTATACCTCAATTCCTCCATATCCTTRCCTACAAAACTCAGAGGGCAGTCCTATTAAGAGCACCCTAGGATGCAGACACACAAGTGGCAGTACAAAGTGGCAAACCACCCACTCATCAATTTTTCCAATTCAGACCTAAAAAATATGTGAAAAATCYACTAGCTCCACAGGCTGCAAAAGCAGGCAAGCAACTGTTGCCCTTAATTGCAGAGAACAGGCCMCAATATGGCACAGTTTATCATTGCAAATGTATTTCAAGATAAATTTAGTGTCAGAAGTCAAAGGAAAAATATATATTTATGAAACCAAAACCCTTATCTATCATACCAGCTCTTTTTATAATTTTATTATATAATCTTGATATTTTAATGTCTGGAAATYTAGCTAAAGCCATATATTTTCAGGGCATTTTCATGCTCTGATTGCCTATCTTGTTTAAGCTTTGCTAAACCTACAATAAATTGTTTGTTATTTTCCCTGGATTTTAATTTTCCCTCTCAAATTCTACCACACTACTCTGTACTCTACATGACACCCTGTGAAAGGCATTAACATCCTACTGAAAATCAACTTATCTATGAATAGACGATGATTTTCAATGTGACAACTCAATTTAGGCCTTTTTATTATGATTTTTTTTCTATTTTGCTGATTTAAGTGTAGCATCTATTAAATGTCCTGGTYTTAAATAATTTTCTTGTGGATGGAAAATAAAATATTTTTTTAATTAGGAAAATAAGTCCCATCATATTTGCAAATACCACACTGTAACCTGAAAACTAAAAATAAAATCACTTTCCTTTTTCTTTTCTCCCCCACCCCGTCAAAAGGCAAGTGACTGGTGAGTATCTCAGAAAAAAAAAAAAGTCTCTCAGACTAAAAATAACCCCTGTTCTGATAAACAACCGGTCAAAATTCAGTCACGCCCCTGCCTGATAGCCTGAAGCAATGAACAGGCTATGAAGACATAACTATGGTATAGACGTCTACCTTAGTTACTGGCTATTTTTGTGTGTGTCTGTCTCTCCTTTAAGCGACAGGATAAGCCAGGTGCCTAGAGAACTGCCTCCTATTCCTTCTCCAAATTTACCTTACCAACGTCAAATCCAATGGGATTCGACATGCATCTGTTCACATCCTGCATATGGGCTCTGTGAGGAAAAGCAASTATGAACAACATCAAAAGAGCATCACTTGCAATTTCCAAAACAGAAATTCAACCACAAAGAACWGGACAGGACAACTGCATTTATACATTTTAAATTGGGACCATTTGACTAATATAAAATCARTTGCAGTTCCATATGTTTACTTATGAAAATCCAGGTTAATAGAACTTTAATTCACAGAAGCGTGTGTGTATTTATAAATATATAATAAATGTATACACATGCGTATGCTTGTAGGGAGAAATAAGAGAAAAGGAACAGAAGATTGATATTTAAAGGAATCTCCATTTATGCACATACACAGGGAAGTGAGAATATGATCCTGGAAGTATGGAATCAAGTAAATTAATGCTGCAACAAAAACAGTGATTTTCCAAAGGGCAATAATATACAATTTCTTAAGAGATATGTGGAAAATTATATTCAGTAGATAATAAATATATCACCATTACAAGCACTTTAATCACATTAACTTRGAATTAATTTATCTGAAATAGCTATTTAAGGGATATAAAATTGTAACCTTAATATTAGAATCATAACATTGATTGCCACATGGCTCAGTGCAGGCCAAGAAGAATATGGCTCATAACTTAATTCTACTGTATTCCTAGTGTGCCAATTTGCTAACAGGGCCAAGCTATATGAAGATCCATCTTCCATGTCTATTCCTTAAGCAGAGTTTTTTCAAGGTAGCGCATCACCTCAGGCACTTCCCCTAGCGATTTTAGGGCAGCAAAAAATAATAAAATAAACATTTTGATTGCTGAACTGACATCCCATTTCCTGACAGAAGAACAGCACCGTTTCATTGCAATAGCTGAAAATTGCTTCCCAGGATTAGAAGCTACTTCCTCTTGCTCTAAAGAACCAAGTGGACACTGTGGTATGGCTACGGTGTGGATGAAACCTGGACCCTTTCTCACTGTAGCCTCATCTCCTTAGGTTCCTGTTCTGGCTACGCAGAGACAGGACCAGACCAGTGCCTCCCTGCAAAGCACCCACCCCAGCACTCCTCAGCAACGCAGATGCTTCAGCACCAACAAGATCACAGCCCTGTTGCCGTTGCGATAGGTAGGGGAAGATACGGGCTCACAGTCATCTCGCTACAGCCCTCACTCGACACTCCTCAGGAGAATTAAAGCTGGATCCATGTCCTACAGTCAGCTTCAATCAGCTCACAGGGCAAAGAGAGCACCCAAAAGGCAGCAAGCAGAATCTTAAGAGGAACAGAAGAATCTATAATCGCAAATACGTCAATCAAAAATATTAGATATACAAGGAATCTACTTCCCCACTCAAAATCCTTGAATGAGAAAAAAAAATAATGCTATGCATATTTTTTTGCTATGCATAATGCTATGCATAAATTGTACAAATGTTATAATAAGTAGAATTATTCCAGAAGCATTTTGGATGACATTGTGGTTGTCATTTTCTGAAGATTTACTTAAGAAGAAAAAAAAACAAAAAGTACTAGTAGCACTTGAAGSAGCTTCAAGTTAAAAATCACTGTTTTCTTTATCGTATCATAGAAAAACTTCTTTATCATATGCTCAATAAAAATAAGGACTACCTTTACCCAACTGCATCAGCCAAGGCAACTAAGCCCATTTTCAAAGTGGTCCAGTGGTCCTGCTGTTAGCCAGACCAGAAGCAGAGGGACCTGCCTCTAATCTCATAGTCCAGGGCCTTCCAGGTGTGAGAAGAGATTTTCCATCCAAGTGCAGGAAGCCCCTAYGGTCCTAGAAAATGTTCCCCCGGCGCATGCGAGGGGCTAAGTTTTATCGCCACAGAGATTATCAGGTCAGTACGTGACAATTAAGTAGAACACTAGAAGTGTAAAGACCAGTTTATGTTAAAATATTTGAAAGTAACTTAGGTTTGCCCAGGTATCTCAGTGATCTAGGTAGTCACAGTAAYGGTGAGATTTCTAGAAAATATTTGCAGGTTGAATATCAAGAAACACATGCAATAAGAAACCAAAGGCATCCAACATTTTCAAGACTAATTAGTAACAGATTTTCAGAATTAGATGTGAACATTATACTGCACATTTGTTGGAGTGACATGACTAAAGAACACATCAGTCTCCTTCAGATCAGAGCAGAAAGCAACCAAGTTAAACTGCATGCTTCTTCACAGAGGGTAGGCAAAGCAAACCTTCAAAAATGGAAAAAAATAATATATGGTCTAAGTAGGAGCATTCTCTACAAATATTATTGGATATTTTGCTCATTATGAAAATCAGACATTCTAAGTTAAATACTTTTTCTTCCATTTGTCTCTTAGCTGATGCTTTCTCTTTCATTACCTACTCACACTATTAGCTCCTCTTTTGACAAAATGCAGGTAAACAACCTTTCACAGCTTTCAAGCTTTCCCAGGTGAAGTTTTCTGTTGATTTGTCCAGTCACTAAAAATATGTATATTTTACCACATTTCCTCCTGTGGTCATACATAATGGCATCAGGCTGAAAAAACATTTTAAATTAAATCTCTTCTTAGTAAAGAATTGGAAAATTTTAATCAGCATGGCCTACATAACAATTTGAGGTTAAATGAAAAATTATTTATAAAAAATAGCACTTAAACAAACAATAAATTCAGCTGTCCTACAGGTTTTCCTTCTCTCCGCCCCCTCTAATCCTCACTAAATATTTCTTATTTCCAGTCCTTTAAGGAAGCAGTTCTAAAAATTACTTTTAATCCAGAATGTACTTTAAAAAGTATTTATAGTCTTATCTGTTCTTAAAACAAATAACTTTGTGCTAAAAATGGCAATTTATCTCAAAAATCTATTAAAAAAAAATCTTTATCCGTTCTTAAAATACCTAAGTTGAAATTGTTTCCAGTATTACTGTTATTACTACTCTTATTGTTTCCAGAAATTCCAATTCATCAGTTAGGATGAACTGCAATAGAAGTAAACAAAAGAAAAATAAAACAAAGAATGGGTTTTCATTGAAGAGCAATAGAAGGAAAATAACAAAAGAAAAATAACACAAAGAATAGATTTTAATTGAAGCCATGATTGCAAGACTGAAAAAGAAAAAGAAATAAATAAAAACAAGCAAACAAAACAAAAATAAAAACACACACTACCAACAAAAGAGCTGGAAATGTTTCATACTGACCTGAGTCCATAGAGGACAGTCCCATCCGGATGCAGACGGATCATTCTGTTCTTCACAGTGACACCGTGTACAAATGACTTCTTGTCATTCAGAAAATAGGTATCAGGAACCCAGAGCTGATCTGCTACTCTATTGTCCAGAGTAAGATTTAGAGGTATTACATTATACGACAGCCTCTTATCTCTCCACGCTTGCTGGAAATACATTGTCAAGGTATAGTCCTGTGATTAGAAAAAAGACAAACAAAAGTTTGCATTGAAACAGACTGTATACATATGCAAAAGGAAAGCAAAACCATACTTATCCATCACCACTCTGCTCTTGAAGGCAACCATTTCAGTCCAGAACCCTCCCCTACACGCCTCTAGCATATGTATGCCCAATTTGCTTATACTCAGTAACACAGAATTACCATTACCAACATTGCAATACCAACCAGTTGGAGAATTGATGTTTTGTAAATGGTTCAGATGTTCTCATTTTACTGTTTAAAAAATAAGAAAGGTAAATAGAGATGCTTAACTCTCTGCAGTTACTACAGTACTTGGCAAGCCTGTGAGTTCTAGGAAACAGGAAAATTTGGGGATCTGATTTTTTTTTTTTTTTTTTTTGCACGGCCTCCCCAGTAGTCAATAGTGTTTTATGTGGCAAGTGGCAGTTCAGGATCAGGCCTTGTGTCTCCAACTGCTGCTACCCATTCAAGCACTTCTCTAAATGAAAATCTCTGAAGAGCCTGTTAACTTTCCCCTGGGCACTGAAACCAGTGGGAAGTCTCCTAGGTTTCTCTGCTACACAGTCTTAGTCTTATGCTTAATTTTACAGATGAAGTAGCTCTAGTTACTGCAATAGGACAATTAAGGGAGCCAATTAGCCATTGGAGTAGAGACTTGCAGTATCAGGACACTGCAGGCTTTCAGTGGGATCATGCAGGCCATTAATGAACAGTACTTTGGAGACATTTCAATCGGAGCATCTCAAGAGAATGCCCCCTACACGAGGAAAGCTCCACACTACATATCATACTCTTGTGCTTCATCATCGCAGTACTTACTCCAGGACTAGACACCTAGTCCCATACTGCCAATAAGAAAATGTATTAGCTTCTTTACAGTAACATACTACAGCATAAACTATAGCAATTGGTTGCTACCAGATGAGGCACAGCAAATGCTCCACTATTATCCTGGGATATTGCATTTCATTCCTAAAGTATAATTGGAATCAATACACAGCACATATGCAGAACATGTGCAGAACTAATTTACAGGAAGAAAAACAAATGTGTGTGGTCCAGTGTTGAAAAAAACTCATTAGATTAATTTGGAGTTGTGGTACAGATGAAAGAAAGGCCAAGTCACAGTGCTGGAGTTCAGAGTCACACACACCGTGGCCCAGGAAGAGGCTTKCAGCTCTTCCAGGTAAAATCATTTGCCACCAAATGGCCCGAGTTTTCACATACGACTGCAGCTTTGGATTTATTTCTTAAAAGAGCAGTTTTTAGAAAGATCACACTACTCTCTGAAAGCGTTCATTTTTTAAAAGATGTTCCAAGACATCAAAACATAAGTTATTAGCTATAAATGAAGGAAAACATATTACTCAAGCTGCAACTCATCCCTTAATAAAGAGAGACACATCTGTTTTCAAAATCCCAGATGAAATTGGGGTTCAAAAAGACAACRCAGAGTTACAAGTGTCACTGAAATAATCCCAAGGTACTTGACACTTAGAGACTGAGAACCCGCATACCTAAAGGCAATACTGCAAAGAATGAAAGTCTCCAAATCTATCATTGAACATGGGAATTTTGTTCTATTTTAACAACAGTCATCAAGCCAAACACGCAGATTTCTCTTCTCGTTAGCGAGCCCAGAGGGCTGTGAAGAAAGGGAAGAAGAAAGCGGCTCGTGAAGGACGATGGTGCACGGTGAGACGGAGCCCGCCAGCCTGCTGAGCKCCGGTGTGAGGCTGCCAGGGGCTTCCAGGACACCGGAGAAGAAGCGGATCCAGCCCCACTGCAGAGCCCGGCACGAGGCAGCGCTCACAACTRGCCAAAGCCACAGGAAGCCAAACTCCAGCTCCCTGCGCCTGCGTACACTGCTGCCCAGGCAGAAACGATGGATGCACGTGCTATTTATAAGACACACACACACACAAATAAACACTTCAACTTCAAAGCATAAAGATATTCCTATTTGAGCATAACATTTAACACAGAGCCCTCTTTCTTCTGCATTAAACAGAACAAGACTGATGCACAGCAGCACTTCATGTACGCTAGCTCTTGTACACAGCACAGCTGCTCACTTTCACATAGACCATCTCAAGTTGGCTTCAAGTCCACAAAAACATTCCTAGTGACTGTATCTCAAAAGTTAGCTGCTAAGATGCTAATTGTATGACCTTAAGTTTATGAATTTTTCCAAGAAGAGACTTCAAAATGTAAGCTCATCATTTCCTGTTCAATAACCGTCTTAAAATTACTTATCAGAGAATCTCACTTCACCGCTAATCAGTCATCGACTGTTTATCTTCTGCAATCCTGTTCCTAGAAAAACCAATCTTTTCTGAACCAAGCAACAGACTTGCGTTCTCAAAGCCAAACAACTGTCAGCAGAGCTTGACGCCTAGACAGAACTTCTTMCTATTGATGATATGATATGCATAGTGAGAGGCTGCTTAGCATCTCAGTGACAGGATCATGGATTTGTGTCTCCTTAGCACTGCCAGGATTCAGCATTTACGTAGTTTCTACCCAGTGATTTATATATTGCACTGCTGTGCACTGCATACTTCATGCATTGCAATGCAATAATGCAGCTACGGCTGTTCCTGGCATGTCAGTTAGTTTAGCAGGAGACGGTGACATTTGATTTCCACCTCTGACAAATCACCCCGACTGAACCATGACACTGCATTTTACTGAGCTAACAATCTATATGTAACTGCAGTCATAAGGCATATGCAATACGTCTTTTAGYTCTCTGATATGGTCTCTCTTGATAATATGAGAAAAACTGATTCAAGTAAATTCGGAGCAAAAACTGCAGGAGTCTGCTAGGAGCTCAGCTGAGCCGCCTATCCAGAGACATCCGCCTGTTGGAAGAGTTACTCCTCTTTTAGGAGGTTCTGCTGGATTCTCAGATGAGCAATGCAAATGYAAAGCAAGACAAACCTAAACTATATGCACTATAGACAAATTTAGGAAAACAAGATATTTGTTTCCCCCAGAAATTTCTGTCCTGGTTTTATTTAACAGCATCTTCAAAGTATTCTAAAGAGCTTTAAGCCATGAGAAGTACCCAGAGAGTTTACTTGCATTGAATTTCCATTTTTTTTTCCACATACCACAAGCTATTTTCTGAAGAAAGAATAGCTCTGCATTCATCAATTTCTAGCAGTATTGTAAACTTTTATAGCTGTACAGAAAAGTTAATTACAGGAACGCCAAGAATTCAAAATATTTCAGCCCCAAGAACAAAAACCTGAAGTGCTGCAAGACAGAATATTTCCCACTTCTAAGGCTTAACTTCCAAAACTCAATGTAGCAAGAAAAAGTTTTGCCAGAAAGTATTATATCAGCCTTCATAAAGGATTTGTATGTCATGCTGTTGAGAAATAGTATTCTACCCAAAACGTGCCCTTCTGCAGTCTCATTCAATTGAGCTGCCTAACGAAGCCCTTTTAGAAGAACAAACAAACCAACAAAATATAAGGATATTTCACTGGGCTGTATTCATAGGCAGAGGCATGCATTTCACTACATTTAGTTTGCTTGCACCAAGTACATTATTTTGCTCTCAGGTACAAAGCTAGCTGCCTTTGCACTAAGCAGAGAATTTATGCAAGATACCTTGCACAACAGATACACTAAGCAAAGCACATATATATTCCTCACTTTCTTAACTACATTCCAGCTGTTTTGCTGTTTTATTAAATACTAGTAGTATTACTGGTAGGCTATTTGTCAAGTCTGCATCATATTCCTGCTCTGACAATGAACAATGAAACATCTTGCTTCAATTCAGATATTGTTTATGGCCTCTGATATTACTTKTCTGTGTGAACTCCTATGAGGTTGAAAATACTATTCATTTTTATTTTGTTTTTGACATATCATCAGTAAAGGTAAATAAAATCTGATGTGAAAAGATGCTTTTGATTAAGAGATGACCAAAGCACAATGTCTCATTTCAAGTATAATAGTTCCTCCCAAGAAAAAAATAGTGGAGTCATTATTAATGACCATTTAGACAGCATTTTCAACTGCCTCACTTCTAAAGTAAAACATTCAGAGTTAGATTTTAGGATGCCTCAGTATGAAATTACTAAATGATTTTTTTTTTTTTTTTTTTTGCAAAATTCCACTAAAATTGCAGGTAGTCAACAGCTTTGAGTAAACAAAGCTATCGCACCGGAACGGTAAAAGTAGAAAGAATCCAAGCTGCTTTTCCAGAAATTGCCGTAAACTGTCTGATAATATAATCCACATAAATCATATAAATCCACTAGATAACTTCTGTCGTCAGCATTACTTGACACTGAACACTCATGTTATATGTTCTAACTTAGAATATCCTTTCACAAGATACAGGTTTAATTATTATCCCATTTTATCAACGCAGTTTTAATTATCGTTACACCTGATATACCATTTTCAATATAAATTATCTAGATTACATGTATTATAAAAGTTCTAAAGCAAATTTTAATGTTTGTCTTAATTGAATCAAGGTCTTAGAGAGGCTATTAACCTGAAAGAGACCATGTCCAAGGATTGACTATTCAGCTCAGAACTGTAAAACCAACAGGATATATCACCTTGCTTTTACTAATGTATTCTATATCTGAAATTAAGTCAGGCTAATCGACTTCATTAGCTTCTAATTGTTTCCAAGAGCCACTTACACATCACAGAAATTTGCAGCAGAAAACCATCTTGGGCTGCACAAGACATACCCAGATTTCCCTCTAGTTCTATTTTCGCTCTGACCACAGATCCCTACTCCATCCGTAAGGGCACTGCCTCCCTACAGGTGTCATCAGGATGGCACGTCTAGAAAGCTTATATGAGCCACTGAATTACTTTTTCCCTTTCAGTTTATGACTACAAAAGAAAGAATGATTCATTTGAGATTAATATTTAAAATCGTAAACCCAACTGCTAATCATGCTAGAATCCTGTGCTGCTTTTCTCTTCCTCTCCACACCTTTTCCTTTT